TGTCCCTGGTGCACGTCAAGAGTAATAGTAAAAATGTTGGAATGAAGGCCAAACGTGACTCTCATAACCCGTCCTCGTCCCTGTGCCGGATCCGGCAGTCTGGGAAGAAGAGAAATGGGAGTCACGTTGTTCCTGGCCTGAGACAGTGCTCTTAGGACGAATTAGGACAACTTTCCACAGACCTGAATAAAGCCCACCGCACATAAGGCGATTTTTTTCTGCTCCACCGTCGCTCCACACGATATTGCTCCGTGTGCAGGGCGCTGCGATCGCACTACCATAGCCAGAATATTGCTCGATTATAAAGTTTTCGGCAATAAATGTTTCCGTCGTTCGACTGTAGTCCCGTGTGTGGGGGTCCGGCGATGTTGTTGCGATGTACAGTAGGCCCGCCAAAGTTCTTGCTTCGACCAATCATATTATGACCTGAAATCTCAATACGGTAGCCTCATTAGTTTTTTTTATTAAGGTTCTCATCCGGAACATCAGGAAGCGCTGAGTGATGGCCGGGCGTTCTGAATGGATGGGGGTCTTTGGGGTCCCTCGCGATGGTGTCTTGCTTTTCGATATTTGGATGAACTTGAAGCGTATCCACAAGAGTGGCGAAGTTATCAAAGTTCATTAGGTTTCGGTTCCGAAACGATGGTAAATCTGCTTGAAGGAGATCGCGGTACGAAGCTTCCTCCGCTCCTTCTTCTCTTTTATAATTACCTGTAGATTTGAAACCAAAGCGAGAGCGTGTGCGGGAATTGTTGACAGCAGACGACTAACTTTTTATTTCCTCGTGATCGGTCGCTACGGGTCGGTATCTCCCATCCCTTTGCTTGCAGATTGCTCAGTGTGACGGATCCCATCTCGGAGACAAGGCGATGGTCGCGCGACGGTGGAATAAGAAAAATTGCCTCATGTGCGGCGGGTATAACGAAATCCGAATTTTGAGAAGCTTCAACCGGTTCTCAAATCATTCATCATCGTAGATGTTCTTCTTATACATTCCCTGAAGCATATTTTATCTCTCTTTCCCGGCCTTTGATGCCAGCCGCTCTCTGGACATCATCACCATCATTCGGCATTATAGGTCGTATAATTAGAGAATTCGATGTCTTTCTTTCCTTATGTCTCTATCCAGTCTTCATGAATACTTGGGTAATTGGATTCTTAGATTTGGGCGAGCCAGCACTCGTTGGTCCAGATGGATTACCTGGTTACTTCATCTTTGATTAAATTCACGAGTGAAATATCTCGCATTTTTCCTTGAGAAATGAACTGGTGCTCCGTGCTTTTCGCTGTAAGCTTACCATCGCATCGCGCTGTAGATCGTATGGACGAGTAAGCAGTGACCCGGGAATTCTCTTCCTTTGGAATCAATAGGTGCGGTAGTGCCTATTACCTTTCATCAACCTCCTCCCGCAGCAAAATTCAACCTCCTCGTATTCTTCTCTGAGAGCATCAATAGGAACGAAATTAGGTATGCTTCTTCCTCTCTCAACACATAATGGCTCCAGCAAATTTGAAGCTCCTCGGGATTGTGGAGAACACTGAATCTTGCTTTTGAAAGAGTGAATTCCAGTCCGTTTTTTTTTCTCCCCCTCCCCCCCCCCCTGGGTAGTCACTCCTGGGGGGGTTTTGGAGGAAAGAGACGAACCATAAGAAAGATATTTACTCGTAGATGACGAAAAGTCCTCTTTTTGCTGTTTGCCATGCACCATTTTGCCATAAAAAGTGAAATTAGCTGTCATTCAAATAAGCTTAAGGCGGCACACGAGAAACCAATTTGGCTGGACTGGTTTCGGGAAACCAGTTTCACGATATTTTCGCCATGTGCGTTGAAATATTAGTTTCGCGAATTCAGTTTCTCAGTTTCGTGAAACTAATATTTGGTTTCGCAGCTTTTCTATTTTTTGTTTAGTTTCTGAGAAACTGTGGGTGGTATGGAAGCAGAAATGATTGAGTTTGTGCGTGTTCGAGAGAATTTGTGGAAAGTTGATTGTGAAGAATATCACAATAAGCTGCTCAAGCAGCAGAAAACATATGAAATAGTAATAACACTGAATATCAGTCGAAGTAAGGTGAAAAAAGGCACTCTTTTAGGGTTCATGAAAGAATGAAAAAAGTGGAAGCCTCAGGCACCTTTGTATATGCAGAATCCAAGCCGAAAATTGAATGAAACTATTTATCCAATAGCTTGGCTATATCATATATCAAGAATACTGCAAACTCGTGTAAGATTCTCTTATTAAAGAAGGCAGAACACTTTCCTGTTGGAAATCCTATAGAGATCCATCGTGCATTGATCAATCGGTAAATAAATGGTGACTTATGAGTAGACGGGAACCTCAGTGTTACAGCCAAGCGAAAGTCAGCAGGTATAGCCACTCTTATTACTGAATTTTTTTTTGCTGATATCTGCCTTAACCATATCCAGAAGATTCTCAAAGCATTGTGGACTCATCTGCAGAAAATTCAAGTAGAACTCTGAGTCCTCTGATCACAGGCTTCGAATGAACGACCCATAACAACTATATCATGCACGTTGCACGTCTCCAGTTGTCATCCCAAGATTTCCTTCTTTTTAAATTGTCTTTTCCGGCTTGCTCGAGCGAAAACGATTGCTGCTGAAATAACACCTGGAATCTCTTCGTCTAGATATGGCGAGAAACTGGGAAACTGAACTTCACGTGTGTGAGGAATCAACTTCAGAAACTAGTTTCATCTATTTCCACAAAACTGGTTTATCGTGTGTAGCCGCCTTTAGAGTGCTTCCTCCGGTATCGTCCCTCAGTGTTGCCGGATACCGTGTCGAAATTATGCCAGATTAAAGACTACTTCAACCTTCGTATCGGCGTTTGGATCTTCTGTTTCTTAATGTATGAGACATTTTTGTACTGAGTTGATGAGATGAGCTGAGAATGAAACGGTGGTTAGCAGTGATTGATCAAGGGTGTGGGATATGGATATATCTTCTCCGGACATCACTGAATTAACAGGATGGCGCGCATCATGGATTTCATGCTTCCTAGAGGCATTCTCTCCTCAGACCTATCCGAGATGGTTCGAGGAACTCCAGATAGACCTAACGTTAATCGTCCTCTCTGAAATGGTTCGTGAGAGTAGGAGTAGTCCTGCGATTGGCATAATGTTACCCGTCAACGAGATGTCTCGATTACCATGGATACACCCTTAAAGGCCTAATTGGCCCCGTTAGTCGAGAATTGAGTTTCTTTTGAAAGAAAAAAGGTAGGTCTAAGTGTGACCTGAAGGCAATTAGGTTAGGTCTAGGCTTAACGTTAGTGAGTCCTGTAGAGAAGGGTGGGGGTTGAAGAAAGGGAAAGTAATTTTAAGATGATTTTCACATTACTTCATTTTATTCTGGAGAGAGGATCACTTTTGTTCTGGCCACGCCGTATCATCGCCAGGTTGCAGTAATTCTGCCATTTTATTATATACATTTCGCGAAATATATTTGCCACATCGTTTCGTTCATCATGCAACTCTTCTTGCCGTTTCCATTATTTAAATCCATTATTGTACTTTTGACCTGATCATCAGGATGTGGTATATATGGAGAGTATGAAAGGAACCCGGGGGACCTGTCTATGAGGCTTCCATCCATCAGCAGACACCCCTCGATTAGCCAAAACGACTTGTTAATCAAATAGAACTCCATATGGGGAACCCAAAAGGAAGGAGCATGCGTATGCCCGACAGGACTTGAATGGGGAACGCAGTCGCATGAATGGAAGGAGCATGGACAGGCAGCTCGAAGAGACTGCATTGAGGGACCGGCATCGGAAACGGATGCTTCCCTCTTCCTTCTGTGTATTGCTGTCTTCCTGTGATATCACGGCTTCCGTTACTCCGGCGAGTCGTGGTCAGAGGCATCCCGCTTGCGTCTGAGGATATCGAAGGAGCTGACAGGAGGATCCGCGTTTCAGATCTTTCAAGTGTTTTCCACTAGCCCCAGCAGAATTCTTTTATTTTTCTAACTCGTTTTTTCTCATTTCTTCTTCGTACTGACAGCAATTACGAAACAGGCGAGCTGGATTTAGTATTCTTTACTGCATATCCTGTGCGGCATGGACAAGATAGCCGGAAAGTTGTCATGAGGGGGATGCATAACGGAAGCTCATCAAGTTGGATCGATCCGTGGAGTTTCCTTAATGGGAGCAGCTCTGCAAAACCCCATAGGCTTATGATACCAGAACATGCTCCCCGTCGTCTCGTTATGACGAGACACTCTTCTCGAGTCATCCAATTGTCACGGATCTTCTTTCCAGGTCGATGAGGAGATTCCCAGCGAACGCCATGCCCCCTGGTGCGAAGGAGACCGAGAGGGGTGGGATATGTTGATATCCTCGTCCAGGTTGTGCTTCTTCTCGTGGGTGCCTTGTTGGATGTCTCTCGTGCTGGGATGTTGATATCCTGCTCGGCAGTGTTGATCACTCGTCTACATGACGGTGGTGTGCCTTAAAGACGGAGCCACATGTCTCACGTGTTTGAACTCAGCTCGGATGCCGGGACCAGACATCAGGAATCCAAGGTATCTACCCCTAAATAAATACACAGTCGCCGGCCTCACCGCCTACTCTGATTCTAGCCTTTACCAGGAAAAGCTAGAATAGGCAATTCAATAGAAAGAGCTAAAAGCTGTCAATGTGATGAGCACTGTACAAGTTCCAATGCTGTTTCCCTGGCTTATCGTAATTCACGACATGCACTGCTGCAATGATAGTCTCATTATATAGAAGTGCCTTTAGATAGAGCGTTTTTCACTCTTATTTTGGCATGGAATTGGAAACATGAGAATGAGAAATGACTGAGAATCGGGGGAAAATAAAATTTTTGTTCTTTTAATGTCGGTGCTACAAATAAAGATTAACGTGAGATAGCCCTGAGGAATATTGAGGTAATCTTGAAGGCCTCACAAACCCATATAAATCCATTGATATCATTATATCAATGGATTTATATGGACCGAATAGCTATATACCTGAAAAAATTTAAGTCATCCTGTTCCCTCCCTGGAAGGAGTCTTGTACTTGTCGGGAATAGCCAGCAGTTAGCTGCATATGGTACCCCGAACTATTGGGGTTGTTGTTAGTGGTGTCGTAGAGATGACGGTGCTGATGGTAGTAGGGAGGAAGGAAAGGATCGTTGAAGGGCTGAACGGGGTCGTAGGTGATCGACGGCCCTTGGTCTTCGGCCTGGGCCGTGAGCAGTTCATTCAGGCAATGGTTCAATGCCTCGTCACTGGGTTCTGGAATTTCCATTTTCATCTGAATCTCGGTCGCATTCGAAGATCCCGGAAGGTCGGGGAGAAGCTCGTCGTTTTTATGAATGTGTGCCCGACAATGAGCGTTCAGGACGCTGCGATAGGCGAAACGTTTGTGGCAGAATTTACAAGGATAGGGCCGTTCTCCGGTGTGGATCCGAATGTGGACTCTCAGCTGCTTGGACGAGGTGAAGGCCTTACCGCAGACATGACACAAGAACGGCCTCTCTCCCGTGTGAATGCGACGATGGACCAAGAGTTGACCACTTTGAACGAACGCCTTTCCGCACAGATCGCATGAGTGAGGTCTCTCGCCCGTGTGAATGCGAACGTGTCGGGCAAGCTTCCCCTGGTGTTCGAATGCCTTCCCGCAGATGACGCACGGGTAGGGCCTTTCCCCCGTGTGGCTTCGGACGTGGACCACTAAGTTCTCACGTGCAGTGAACTTCTTCGGACATTGCGGGCACGAGTGAAGCCGAGGTGGGGCGTTGTGGACCCGTTCCGAATGGCGGCGAAGTCGAAGCCCGGAAGTGAAGCGCTTCCCGCACGCCGGACATGTGTGCTGTTGTGGCTGATGATGATGATGCTGCTGCTGCTGATGCTGCTGCTGCTGATGATGATGCTGCTGATGCAATTGATGTTGTGGTGGCAACTGTTGGGTGGTCTCGCTTCCCGTTTCTTGCTTTTCCTGTCAACAGGAGCAACAACAATCATCAAGTTGATTCATTCGTGCAAAAAGAATCGAGCGATTCGGTAGCTGCTCAGAGCAGTAGTCTTCCATTGTTTCAAATTTCTCTAGGTAACTGTAGATTTTATGGACGAGTAAGCAGTGACCCTGGAATTCTCTTCCTTAGGATTTTATTCCTCGGAGGGAGGATCACTTTTGTAATGGCCTCGCCGTATCATCACCATGTTGCAGTAAATCTGCCATTTTATTCCATAAATTTTGCCAAAGATCTTTGCCACATCGTTTCGTTCATCATGCAACTCTTCTTGCCGTTTCCATAATTGAAAACCATATTTGCATTTCTGATCTGATCAACAGGATTTGCATCAGGATTTTGACTATTGCTTCTTTTAGATTTTTTCAAATTGGCATTTGCATTTAGTTTTGACCTTGAAATTCTTGTATTTACACCTCATTTCTGTTCCATTTCGAATATTCGCTTTATTCAGAAAAGGTAATGCATGGGAGATTGCACTGACGCCTGTGATATCCCTTTGAAAAATCGCTTCTACGTTGATCCTTCATCATAAAAAAATCTCAAGAATCGACGACGTAAATGTCGGACTCTACCCCAGAGCTATTTTTACCCGTTTCCTTGCATTTTTGCACGCAGATTCTTGGAATTCGCTCATGTTCTCCTGAAATGAACCGTCCCTGCCGCGCCTGAAGGAACGTAAAACGACAATATGAGAAACCCGTACGGTGTGGAAACCCCTGGAGATGGAACGAGTCACATTGATCCTATGGGATCGATTCTTGCAGCCCGTGTTGACACAAGAATAAGAGAGGGGGAACAGAACCATGTCTCCACTCGCTTTTTCGCGTGATGGATGGAGCACGCTGATGGAGCGCAGTACATAAGCCTCATAGGCCCATATCGTCCATGACCATTTATGTTGCGCATTTATCGAGACGAGGCAGCCGGTTTGCATAATGGATTGAGAGAGACACCCCCATCAATTTGTCAAAGGGAACTCCGCTGTACATGGTGAATGATGCACATTTGGAGCAAGAAGGGAATTAGCCTAGTTAATAGCACGGTCTTCTGTCATTACTGAGCGTCATGCATATTTGATGAAATTAGCTCTTCTGTCTCCCAACTCTCTAATTTCAACGGGCTAACACCCGAGACGAGAACGAGCAAGAAAATTGGGAACTGTTTCTCGAAACATTAAAATCTCAAACATATATTTCCATTATTTTTATTATTTCATCCGTAAAAGTTGTTTCGCGAAGACTAAACTATTCCTTCGCTAAATCTTTTCTTGTGTATAAGAAAAGTTTAATCAGGGGAAATGACAACCAAGGAAGCGTTTCAAACATACTTAAATCCTCTACTCAGCCAAAATAATATATTCTTGCAGAAGTTTCACAGATACGTCGTTTGTGGAAGAACTAGGAGCTTTGCACACTTTCCTTTGCATCCCCAAGAGGAATGGCGGCACGGGGACTTTTCGTGGGCAAAAACGTAGACTCCTCCCTGTTAAAGGGTGATGGCGTATTTCGCAATCGCCTTCTTAATGCAATTGGCATCCACAGGTATGATGAGCTTCGACATAGATATCGATTGCGAGATCCCCCCATCCTGATTATAAGACATTGATTATAAGCATTGTGATTATAAGCATTGTGAGCGCGACGAGGTACCTGCAGGAGGAATATACGAAAAAACACCCACTGAAATAATACCCACGAAAAAAACGCCCATACCTGCAAAGTAAGAAAAAATGCCCACTTGAATATTTTTATTGCTTTTATTTTTTATTTTTATTCTGGGCATCTAGACCATTGTCGTAGAAATGGAATGGTTGCAAATTTGAGCCACCCGTTGTTGCCCACATGCCTTCAATGCGAAGGCATATCATAGGGATTGTCATAGGCTCAGCGACTCCGAATATGTGACAGGATTTATATATGACAAGTGAATGGAACTCCTCAGCACGTCTGAAAAGAGATATACACGTAGGTTCAGTCGGGAAAAAAGACTTGCGTTCGTTTTGCAGAGTTTGCAGAGAGGGGGAGAGAGGGAAATGGATGCCCCCTGATGGGAAAATCGCACGAGGATCGTCATCCAAATGCATCATGGCTTGCGAGTAGATAACACTTGGCTTGTCACAGGTCTTGGCCGCTCGCTGCTTCATGGAGAAACGACATTTGTCGATCTCGATAGCCGTCATATCCGGGGCATGGTTATGTCCTGCTCATGAACAGGGATCGGTGCAGTCGGCATCTGTGAAAAAATTTCCCCACACGATGGGGACCGCAGGGCACAGCGCCACCGGATTTTGTCTAAATTATTCTTGGAGTGCTTCACATACAGGAAGCCTTCGAATATAACTTGCCGTCCGCCTTTCTGGTTCGTGATGAACGTCCATGGTTATTTGAAAGGAAATGAATAAGCTTAAGACACCTTATTTATATATCATCTGTTCGTAGATACTTCGAACAATGGTATCTTGATCTCCTGCTCATACTTCACTGGGAGCACGAGGGGATTGTCAATCAAGAGTTGCCAGGGTTTTGTCTAACGCAGCAGTACTCAAACTGCGGCCCGCGGGCCGCATGCCAATCGCTGCATGTCAAATGCTGCATGTCGCGCTTCAATTGCCCCATGGTTATTGAAATGAATCCAGAGGACAGGCGAATCGGCAACATGATCCCTTGCACCAGTTTTTATCTCAAGTGGCTTTTTTTCTCACGTTTTCCTTCGCGTTCCCGGAAACAATCCTCCTTACGTTGATCCAGTGTTGAAACGTTCTGGAATCCTGGGAATATCCTTCATATTCGCGTTTTATTACGTTGATACATGTGAGATGTTTATTTTATTCAATGGTTATATATCATGCTTGGAAAATACAATGCATTCGTTTTTACAAATAAAAAAATAAGCCGCAAGAGATATTTCGAAATATTATGCTGTGGGCATTTTTTCGTACTATGCAGGTATGGGCGTTTTTTCCGTGAGCATTTTTCCTTGTGGACATTTTTTCCGTGGGCGTTTTATCGGGGCACCGAGAGTCAAACACTACCTCTCGTACAGAGAGTGTGTTGTACGTTACTATTCTTCGCTACAGGTGCCATATATTCATTTTCGGGAGATGAATTTGGGTTCTCGAAGCCATCAGGTCCCCATATCATGCATAACGCTTTCGAAATCATGACCGAATTTTCGGAAGCTTCCCTCGCAGGATAAATTGTGCGCAAAGGGAAAACTGATTTCTTTCGAAAATATCGATCCCCAAATGTCACCAAGTCAATTGATGGAACCCACCCTATAAACCACTCTAAGACTGGGCATACCTCTGTTTAAACTTGAAGGGTTCAAATTCCTTGAATATTCATCTAATTCTCCATGTAGATACAAAGATGCTGAGCCTTGTCGATGGTTATCCATGCAGATTCCATGTCTCCTTATAACTGCCAGCATGCTACGAAGCTGCTGCAGAGGCTAATTACTGGAGGCGGTTAGCTGCTGACAATTTTCTTTTGGAAAATTGTCTACAGGTGTGGTAGCTCTTCCCAGATAGAGTATCGAATGAGGTAGTTCATGGGTCAAGTATAGTGCATCCCTTCGAACCGCGGGTTGTCGAATCTATGCGGCACCTGCCTAATGAGGGGGTAATGAGGGTGAGAAGTGGGAAGCGTCAATCAAATCGGCCATCCCCGAACCAAAGGGTGACTCTGCCCCTTTTTTGAGGAGGGAAGGAGGTAAGATGCCGCCTACCTGCCCTGTTCCTATAGTGCTTGTTTCTCCGTCTGGTCTAGGTATTTTTAGAATTTTGGGAAGTAGAGGATTGAAAGGAGAGGAAGATCCGCCATTGGTTTCCTTCTTCACTCCCCCTCTCATTAATCATACAGTTTTCCCTTTGGTTCCAGTGCCGTCTGACACGCTAATGTCTTCCTTTGCTTATCTCTCGCGACCCGCGATTCGAACGGATGCTCTATAAAGAGATTTTTTCAGCCTTATGCACAATTGGACTTTAGAAAAAGAAATATTCATATTTTGATACTTCGAGAAAAGTCACTTAAATCTAATAATGATCCGCTTCCATTCCATATTTTATAAAAGGGTTCGTTTAAGAAAAGAGCTAAAATTTGGTTGCACAGTTCACAGAAGTTTCGAAAAACAGCTAGTCTAGTCTAAAAACAAAGGACCGTTTCTTGGCCTTCAATTTTAACCTATGTCCGGCCAGTAGGCATGTTCTTAAACATGTTATTTCTTAACTCCTTTCTGCCTAAGTTGTTTCTGACCACAAGTAGAACCGGGAAACTAATAAAATTCGTCTTTCATTACATGGAAGTCGGATTGTGCTGAAAAAGTTATTGCAAGCGAGTGTGAGTCATTCTCGTGTCTTCAAATGAATGAGAATATCTGCTTTGTCTGCTTTTTGCTTACCGCATTAGATGAATGTAGAGGGGACTTTCTTTTAACCATCTCCAGAATGACACCAGAAGTATTTGGACATCGTCAGTTTTCGATTCGCTTTGTCTCAGAACCAGAAACGCTATTCGAAGGCATCCCATGGCAATTAGGCCCCATCCACGCCAGAAAGTTCTCTCTGCAACATTCCCTTGTAAGTCGACGTTCCAGGACTACGCTTTCCGCCAGAAAGACTTTCTAAGTATTTGCCGACTTTTTTCTCCCCGGCCTCGTCCCCGCCAGAAAGTTTTCTCTGTAACTTTTCTCTGCACGTCATGTCGACGTTCGGAGAAAAGTTATGAGAACTTTCTCGGAAATGACGCCTAGAAAAATTGCAATACATTTCTTTCAGAGTTACCTTTGCACAAGTAGAATCTCGATATACTTTTCTTTTATTGAAAGCTAATGGCTTTAACGTTGAATATGGGTTTGGGCGACGAATTTAAACGAGAAATACTGACGTGTCTGTGATGTAGGACTGCACGATATCTGTCTTTGGAAAATATTTTATCATCTTCCCGCAGTAACTAGATGTATTGCCGGCCGGGGGAGATGAAGGGGGAGATA